GAACATTACATGTTTCTCAATTCTTTTCTCTGCTTTGGGGACAGCAGTACTCATTAACTGACAGAGCAGATATTTTAATTTACTGTGCTTCTTGTGACTCACTGGTTTTAATTTAACTCATTTGTTGTTTTACATCCTTTTACAGTTTTACTCATCTGTGGAAGCTCCATTACTACTCTTTTGATGTTACTCCTTCCGTCCCAATTTAAATCGCATGTTTTGATTTTTGGGCATATTTAAGAAAAATAAAAAATAAAGTTGATTTTCCGAAATTGTCATTACTTTTTAAGAAGGGTGATAATGAATGAGAAGATAAGGTGAAGAAGAATGACTTATTTTAGGGGTAGTTTAGGTATTTTATTTTTAAAAGTTTACAAAAACAAGTAACACACAACTTATTTTGGGACGAAGAAAAAAAACAAACATGCAATTTAAAATGGGACAGAGGGAGTATTATTTTACTCCATACACAAATGGGACACCTTATGTAATGGTGAGTAAAACACACTTTCTGGAGTATATGAACTAATGGTGTATTTTTAATAGTTTGTGGGGGGGGGNTTCAAAAGTAAATGATACAAAAATGCTTTTTCTCTTTAAACTTTGTTTTATTTTTTAAATAATTTCGTTTTTTTGGCTCATCCAATGATCATTTTTTTCGCAGATCATCCAATGATTTAATTTGTTCACATTTTTTTTCCACCATACATTATACAGTGTTCACAGTATAATTCAAACATCAAAAAGAAAACGGTGTGGTTCTAAGGACACCCAGTTTTGATGACACTAGCGGTGCCACTGTCATTTTGGGACACTTCCGTTGCTCCGTTTGTAAAATTGACAGTTCCTACCCTCCAAAATAACAGTGACACCGGAGTGTCACCGTACTCCGGTGTCACTAGAACCCCGCCGACAAAAAAATGCACCAACTTTAATTTTAATATTAGTGACACCTTTCATTGCACTACACATATGGTTGCTTTAATTTTAATATTAGTTCTTCACATGGGAGAATAATGTATAATACGGTGAGAGTCACCTTTCATTGCACTACACATATGGTTGCTTTAGATAATTAGTGTATAGTTGAATACTGACCTATATACTTGCCGGCATGTGTAACTCAATTTGTCCAAAGAGAGGATGTCAAGCTCGTTGATCATAGGATCGAATCCCGACGGTGGCACTGTGAAGTTCTGTTGTTTGTAATAGTTCTTTGTGCGCACCTGACACGAGTCGGTCTCTCTAAGGACCAAATTGAGATTATACCATGAGTTATTTCTCTCACAATCCTGTCGAACTGGGGTGTGGGGGAGCCAGAGTGACTTTTTACCTTTTTTTTTAATGGTAATATTTGTTGAGAGCCACTTAAGTGACTAAAGGTGGTCTTCAAATGGCTCTAGTTCCAACTTTCATTGGACCACAATCGCCCCACTCACTAGTCAATATGATGTGTGCCTCTCTTTTACTCGCTAGATTAGTAGCTTGTTTTATCCTTTACTTTTTCATGATCTCTAATATATTTCTTTAATCATTTTATTTTCATTTATACATAAATATATTACTCCGTATAAAAATATGTTATACTAAAGTTTCATTTAACAAAAAAATCCATCGATATTTTATTATGAAACATCAATATAATAATATTTATATAACTACCCGATACATTTTTTGTCAAAGTTAAAATCTGTTAACAAAAAACACAAGTTACGGGACATATATATAGGTCGTACTCTAAAATGTTATATGCATTAGGTCGTATTTTAAAGTGTTATATGCATAAGAGAGTGATACTTACATGATCCTAAGGTCCACATTTATATTACAAACACCATGTGGATTTTTTTTTTTGCAAAAGGACCACTTCTTTTATATTACAAACACCAAAATAGGAGTTTGAGAGTACGTATGAATGGTGGGAGACTGGAGACTGGATGTGTGGTGATGATAATATAACGGTGCGAATGGTAGCAGTGTAATGATAGACCACCGGTCAACCGGGAACAACGTTGGCGACTGTCGGCGGAGGTTCAATGATAGTGATGTGTGGAAGTGTAAATTCATAAGAGTAATTTACCTAAATAGGACTAAAACATAATGACTTTCTCAATATATGAGCATATGTTTTTATTTTCTAATGTAGGACCATTGGTCATTATCTATTAGTCATTATTCAACTAAATATCTAGCATCACTTGGACATTATTCTTCTCACTAGTTATTATTAAGTCTTATTTAGAAAATAAAAAAAATTTAAATCCTACATTAGAAAACGACTTATATTTTAATCCTATTCAGTGCAAATTTCACAATTCATAATTGCTATTATGTCTCAAAAGAGTGTTACACATATTTTAATATTTTCATTACGCTTTATTTGTATTAAAAAAGGGTGGGGTTCCCACCCCCGGGGGCGCTCCGGTGCCCCGTTCGTAAAATTGACGGTTCCTACCCCCTAACCCCCTGGTAAACCCCCCCACCCGGCCCCGACCGAAACACACCCCCTTACCCCCGTCAATTGCACCCCACAAGTTGATTTTGACTTTGGAGCTAGTCAAATTTGACTCCAAAGTCAAAATCAACTTGTGAGGTGTAATTGACGGGGGTAGGGGGTGTGTTCGGGTCGGGGCCGGGTGGGGGGTTTACTGGGGGGTTGGGGGGGTAGAAACCGTTAATTTTACGAACATGGGCATCAGAGTGACTCCGGGTCATCCCATGATATTGGATTCCAATGTCATGGGAACCTCGGTGATTAAAAAAAGAAGAATAAAAATAATAATCTAAATAAATCTGCATATTTCATTAACAAAGAGGCGTGGCCACCATATCCCCATGCATCTTTATTATGCAAAGGAAACTAAAGAGCCAAAAATGATTCTCATTTCCAATGAGATGGAATTTCCGTTTTTGGGAATAGGGGCAGTGAGTGTACAGTGTACTACTGCAATATGTTTGGGGTATATTAGGAAAATAATTTAGCTTTACTCGGCATTATATTTGTTAATGTCCATTATATATTACGGAGTATTGATCTTCCTTCTCACCCTCAACCTTTATTATTGTGTTTCTTGTGACTCACTGATTTGTTGTTTTCCCTCAAAGAAAGAAGAAAGAAAAAAAACTCAAAGAGCTAATCATAACAATGGCGGCCGCTATTAACTTCAAATGTTCACTTATTTTGTGCCTCGCAATTTCAGCTCTCTTTAGCTCCTACAAATGTAAGTATGAATATTTTCCTACGTTCCTATTTTTCTTCCTTTCTGTTTAACTTATATTATACTACCTCCGTCCCGTGAAACATGTGACATTTGCTTTTTAGGAGGGATTTAAGGGAGTGTATTTTGGTATTGAATTTCCAAAAATGTCCTTTGATGTGATGGGTAAAGTATGATTTGATGGATAGATTATTAGTAAAAAGGTATGATGTGATAGTTAGGGTATGAAAAAGTAAGGGGTAAAAGTGACTTTTTAATAGAAATGAGAAGTGTTTTGTGGGACGGATAAAAAAAGAAAGGGGAAATGTTTCACGGGACGGAGGTAGTACTACGTAGTATGCATTATGTTATTCAAGATAAACACATACCGAGCATACACACACACACAAACACTCCGTGTGTGTGTGTGTATATATATATATATAAGAGGGTGGTTTTTGTTTGGTTTATGGTGGAGCAGGTAGGGTTCCGACAAGTGATGATGTGAAACTCAATGTTCCCGATTTCTGGGGCCGGAGAAGATGCGACGATGGATCGACTTGTTGGTGCTGCATTCTAATTGGGTGTTGGGATAGTGAAGCCGAGTGCAAAAAACATTGCCCAAATCCAAACAATCAATTGATGAATGAACTACTCCCTCCGTCCCAAAAAGATTTACACGTTTCAAAAAAATTGTGTCCCACAATCCCTTACTCATTTCTATTAAAAAACCACTTTTACCACTTACTTTTTCAAACCCTACCTATCACATCATACCTTTTTCCTAATAATCTACACATAACATCCTACTTTTACCCATCACATCAAAGGTATTTTTGGAAAGTCAACACAAAATTATCCATCCCTTAATTTCAACTTTAGTCAAAATGGGTAACACTTTATGGGACGGAGGGAGTAGTTCATTGAATTGGTCCCCGGCCCGCCCATGGTTTTATCAAAAATAATGCACAAATTCGCACGCACACTTAGTGTCTGCGCACGAGACACTAAGTGTATGTGCGCGCGTATTTGTGCCTTGGTGTACGCTTGTTGTACCTAAATAAGGTTTCCCTAGCACTTCCGTTTTATTAATTATTGTCATCTGCGTTCTTGAAAATAATTTCGCCCTAATTTTTTGCGCACCCCAGAAAATACATTTACTTCTACTTAAAATGTTTAAAATACCTCTAAAACAACTTCTACCCGCAATAAACTACATAATGAGATGTATTTTAGATATTTTAAATGGAAGTAAAAGTATTTTATGAAGTGCGCAAAAAATAAAAAAAGGGAGAGTAGCTTTTATGTATCCGCTTTCTAGTCTTTATTCTTAGAGCTAGGCTAGCTAGCTAGTTGTTTACTATGAGTGCAAATCATATTATTTGCAATTGAGATATTCAATAAATAGTTTATTATTGTCATCCACTAGACTCGTACCCGTGCGTTGCACGACCTAATTATAAATTATATAATTAGGGAAAGTATTGATAAAAATAAAATGATAAAATTAAATAATAATAATAACATATTATAAAATTTTAAAAAAAAATCATGAATGTTATGCATGTTCATCATTAAAATATCACTTCCATCTTTTCTACTCCTATTGTCCAAGCCTTAACAAAGTAGACACGAACGGCTCATAACATAAGCATCCAACTATTAATTCAACTATTGTCAATCTCAGCAAGCTCATTCCACATACTCTTTGAATGTTTAGAGATATTTTTCGAAAGTGGACTGAATCGGGATGAGAGGTATGAAATGTTTGAGTAATATATATAAGTAGTATATCTATAGGACAATCAATCTACCCATTTAATATGATTTGACATAGTGTATGCATGGAGTCACTCACCAATTTTACTCCGCACGCAGTTCAAAAACAATACACTACTTATTTATTTACATTGATTTAACATAAAGTTTGCAGCGAGGCACACACCAACATTAGTATGCACATGGTTCCATATCAATACACTACGCATTTATTTATTTTGATTTGACATAAAATTTGCATGGAGGCACACACCAACTTTACTACGCACACGGTTGGGATTTAACTGTCATCAATACCTAGCCCGGTGGAATATTCTGTCAGTGAAAAACAGGGTTAACATGAAGGCAAGAAGTCAAGAGATGAAGATTATTTCAAGTGTTATAACCAATGAAAATGGTAAAATATATCTTCATTAACTCATTTATATTCTCAAATAATGCATCTCAGTCTTTTTTCTTTCTTCTTTTAGGATGGATTCTCCCAAATAAGAATCCTATCTCCATTGAATTGCCCAAAAAGACTCTTTATTAAGCATTAAGAAAGTCACTTTCAAAAGTAAAAGGTATCTAAAGAAGCTTAAAGGTAAAGAACATCTGGCCACACTATTTAAGTGTATTATTTACATTCAAAAATCTAGTGGTAAAAGCACAATGCTTTAAAAGCTCATCTGCAATACGATACATTTTTAGTTTTTTATATTAACTAAATAAGCATGTTGTCATGTGAATAGACAAAATAATATGAAGTTTGGATGATGAAATGGTTGTGACTGCGCTTGCAAATTTGCGAGTTAATATCTTCTAATCAAAGTAAAATTAAAGAGAGGTTAAGAAATGGATTACTCCACATTATGTAACATATGAACTTCACTGGAGTAACATATAACATCACATTTTAATGACACAGTAGAAAAGAATTCAAGAAATGCTTACTTTTTTGTGAAATTTGCACTAAATAGGACTAAAACATAATGACTTTCCTAATCTAGGATTTAAACTTTTTTATTCCCTAAATAGGACTTAATAATGTCTTCGTGGAAGGAATAATGCCCAGCAATGATAGACATTACTTGAATAATGACTAAAGAATAATGACCAAAGATCCTATATTCGGAAATAAAAACATATGGTCCTACTTTGACAAAGTCATTATGTTTTAGTCCTATTTAGGTAGATTGCTCTACTTTTTTAAGTCGTATAGCATCACATTTTAGTGACACAGTAGAAAAGAAAACAAAAAGAAACACTTACTCTTTTTCACTCGGAGCCATGCTTCGGTTGCTTCTCATCTTTTCAAACTTAATTAGAACCTTGTTAAGAAGGATCTAACAAAAACATAACCCATATATAGAATTAAATATTAAAAAAATAATTTGATGTAAGAAAGAAAGTAATTCAAAAGGAAGCAAACCTAGCGGAAAAAAATTCTTAAGAGAACACCTGTGGCTCTAATGAAATAGCTAAAAGAGAGACCTACAAATCCTCCTGCTCCACTCCAGCGATAAGATTTTATTTTTTTACTCCGTATCATATTAGGCAACATATATTTCTTGTTTGTTCCATAAATTATACTTTCCTTTTTTCATTCTAAAAGTGTAAGCTTTAGAAACAATTGAAACTTTCATTCAGTTCCATTGAACAAAGCTCTGTGTTCATGTGGCTCATCTTATACTCAATACAAAGCTTTCCAATTAAAGCATAATTAAATAGGGTTTCCAAGATTAAATACATGCCTAATTTAATTTGCTCTTTGCTTTAAAATGACAAAAAAATAACAATATAAGTGAAGCTACCTGTATTCATCATAAAAACAACCTCAAACATTTCTCATCAAACGTTGAGAGCCTGTAGCTGCAATTTTTGGCCGAAGCTCCTCCGTTAATGGCGGGAAATTTTAGTAGCGTACTCGAGAAGGCGGAAGTCCGTAGATTTGAGAAGCAGTGCATCAAACTCTCTTTGAAACCGAATGGTTCTCCATCTCCAATTTCTAAAAATTCAATTAATATTTTAAAAAATAAAATAGAAAATGAAAATAGGGTGTTACCGAATCGTTGTCCTCTATGCTGCGTTGGTTTCCTCCATCGGCGAGGTTAAGCTCAAGGAAATTGTAGATGCAATTTCCCATAGAAGCAAGATGTTCCAATTGAAGGCCTGCTGTAAATCCTAGATGCTTTGCCGAGAGAAGAGATCCCTAAATTTTTTTCGGATCTAAAAATAAGAAGCCGAAGGGCGAAAAAACCAAGAAAAGCAGCGACAACTTGGCTTCTCTAATACGCTGCCTTTTGGGAGCGTACGGCGTAAGCTTTTCCAGGAAGCGTACAACGGAAGAAGAACCGGCGTACAGCGTAAGCTTTAGGCCTCATTTTCCACCTCTCCATCTCACAGGCCCATTTGGTAGTGACCCAGCCCAATATTTTTGGGCGGGAACACTGTTCACAAATCACTCTTAGCATTGTATATAGTAGGATTCGTATTGTCATCATAAATTAAGTTTAGTACTCATGCTTCTGTACTTGATTGGGTTTGATGAAGACAGGTTAAAAAGTGAAAAGTTACACTCTTAGAACCTATTCCATATTGAAAGTTGAATTGGAAAGTAACCGATATACAAGTTCTTGAGTTGAACTAAGTAATTGATTGGATTTAATCATATTTTAATGTGGTTTAACTGAAGTGCCTTATGACTCAGTCTAGTGATTCTCACATCATCCTAAATTCTATCGTATACTCGTAATGTTTAGTATGTACGGAGTAGTATTTTTAATACTCCTAAAAGAAGATTTTCTATGAATACGTCATCCGAAAGAGAAAGAAGAGAAATACAAAGATAATATCTCATATTTTTCTAATGTGAGCACCAAAAAAATTAATATGGGATGATAGTCGAAGTAAAGTTGATAATAAAGGTAAAAACCCATACTAATAAGTAATGCTTTCTTTGTTCCATAAAATTTTTCAACTTTCACATCTTGATTGTCTCATAAAACATTTCAATTGAGGCTAAATGGACATAATTGTATTTACTTTTTTCTTAAATCTAATCGAATCTATCTCAATTACCTTTAATGCCCTATCCATATATTTTAACATTTTCTGAGTCATACTCTTTTCAATTGTCATCGTTTTACCGCCATCAAACAAGTCAAAACATGAAAAGTTTTACGGGAGGGAGACAGTAACTAGTAAATTGTTTTCAAGCCATGCATCACCGCACAGCTGGCCATTGCTATTATGGAGATTGGAGAGTACGTACTAATATAGGTCTAGAACTTCACATATTTTGGAATTATCATCCATCACAATTACCGGAGTAAATGTTAATTACCAGGTACCACGTGAGTGAATGGATGCACAACAAAACATTAATTAAAATCAACCACTCACAGTGTACCTCTTGCTTGATCGATCAGGGTAAAGTTTTCAACTATAACAATTGTTAACTGGAAACTTAAAAATGTGATATTGTCACAGTCTAAAGTCTTATTTTAAGGATAAAAAATGTCACTCCTATTTTATGGATAATGCCTATGTTTATTCTTATTTTTATTATTTATGGAGTATTTATTTATTTTATTAAGAAAAAGTGGTTCTATTTTCAAGTTTAGGTAAAGTTTGTATACAATATATACTTATTTTTCTCTTTTTTTTTTGAGATTTTGCAATTCGTTGGGGTGGTTCACTACTACAAAAAAGACTTTTTAAATCGGTTATTTTGACCCTTTTGAATCAGTTTTTAACCGACGCAAAAGCCAGCGATGCAAATGCTCAGGTAACTTTTTGCATCGGTTATTTGGTAATAATGATTAATATAGATAATGACCAATGATCCTACATTGAGAAAAAAAATATATGGTCCTATATTGAGAAAGTCATTATGTTTTATTCCTATTTAGATAAATTACTCTTTCTTGTTCTTCTTTCGTTTCTTTCTTGCTCTTCTTTTAAAAGTTTTATATTTTGGTTTTTAATTTCAGTTTATTATTCTAATTTCAGTTTTTTGGTTTTTAATTTCAGTTTTTTTTGTTTCTTTCTTCTTGCGATTTAATTTTTTTAAGATTTTTAATTTCAGTTTTTAATATCAAATTTTATTTTAGTTTAATTAAAACAATAACATAAAATGTCAAAAACGTAATATGTAAAAATAAAAATGAAAAAATGGGGATAGAATGAGGATCCACATCCCTGAATGGAGATGAAATGAGGAAAGTTGATGTGGCGCTGAGTTGGAAGTGAGGATCATGGAAAGTTAGTGATGGCACCGTTTGCTTAACTGATATACTCCCTCCGTCTAATTTTGATTGTAAATTGGGGATTACGTGGTAAAATTTCATGGCTTTTGAAATTATTTAATTACAAATTGATACATAAAAAATAAAAATTACGTATTAAAAAACTACGTAAAAGTTTTATAAAGTAAGAAGTGACATGAGTATTTTGTTTTATCAAATAATCAATGAAAACATACAAATAATTAAAGTTATGGAGAGGAGAGAAAAATATGTAAACAAAATGGGACGGAGGGAGAAGTAGATATTTTAATTTCCTGTGTTTCTCGTGACCTACTGGTTTTAATTTAATTTATTTGTTATTTTGCATATTTTACTCATATGGTGAAGCTCTCCTTTTTCTACTCTTTTGATACTCTATTATTATTATACTCTTTACAAAAATGGGCCACCATCTTTATAATTGATGTAAAGAAAACTAAACTAAAGAAGTAGCCAAAAAAGATTCTACTGAATCTCCTTCACTAGAATGTTATATATAACCACTTCCGATCCCTCAAAGAAACAAAGCACAAAGAGCGCAGCTAATCATAACAATGTCTTCTATTAACTTCAAATGTTCATTTATTTTGTGCCTCGCAATTTCAAGTCTCTTTAGCTCCTACCAATGTAAGTATTCCTACCAATGTAAGTATGAATACTTTCCTACGTTGGTTCCTATTTTAATTTTCTTCCTTTCTCTTTAATTTATACGGAGCTCCGTAGTATTAATTTTGTTATTCAAGAAAAACATATACGGAGTACACACACATTATACTATTACTAAATTAATTCCTTGGAAGAAAAAAAAGCACAAAAAAGGTTATAACGATGGCCGCTATGAACTTCAAATATTTGCTGATTTTGTGCCTCACAATTTCAACTCTTTATAACCATCTTAAGTTTCTGTTCTCTCCCTACGATTAGGGTTCCTCTCCACTCTCTCCCTCTTTGATTAGGGTTCAGCCGTAAATCTGTCTTTCATGATTTTTGGTATAATTCTCTAGAAATTGTTCACTGTGCTGCACGATCTCAACCTGTTCTCCGTATTTTCTTTGTCTGGCCGCCGAGCTCTGCAATGGCAAATAGAGACATACAACACCTTCAAGCCACGATGGACAATCTGGACTTGGGGGAGGAGGAAATTGGCATCTCCTTTGAAGCCGATAGCGGAATTCATACGAATCTAGGCGATGACCAAACATGGAACATCGTTGGAAGACTCCTCACAGACAAGCCGATCAAATTTGATATCTTCAAGAATGTGATTGCTTCAGTCTGGAAGCCAGCAATGGGTGTTCAAATTACGCAAGGCGAGGAGGGAATCCTGTGGTTTCGTTTCTTTCACCCAAAAGATGCGGAAAGGATTCTTGATGAGGGCCCATGGTCTTATGATAATGCAATGCTACTGTGCGTTAAAGCAACTGTTGGGGACAACATCAGACCTGCAGATCTTAATTTCCTGGATATCTGGGTGCAAGTCTATGGACTCCCGTTCGGATATACGTCCAAGGGGGTCCTAGAGGCAGTCGGGAACTTTTTAGGCCGCTTCATTATGGTGGATGACAGGAACTTAACGAAGCCCTATCAATCATTCATGCGTGTTCGCGTTTCGATCGTTGTGTGGCGCCCCCTAAAGAGACGGATGAAATTGACAAAGCGTGATGGATCAACTACCTGGGTTACTTTCAAATATGAAAGGCTTGGGACCTTTTGCT